TGAATTTACAGTCTCTGCCCTCTTTACCCCATGTTAAAAAAGGGGGTGGGTGGGGTGGGGCTCATGTCTTTCTCTCTGCCTGACATGTGGTGCCCATGAACTTCTAGGACTCTCCTAATTTGGGTCTAAAGAGATGCTGCTGTATTCAGTTTGGAAAAAGAGCAGGGCTTCACCTTTGCTGGCTAAGGTGACTTACTTGGCTGCTGCTGCTTTTTTGTTTTACTTTCATTTTATTTGAAAGGTGGATATACCCCCCCCACACACACACACATATACACACTGAGAGAGATAGAATGATCTTTCATCTGCTGATTCCCAAATGCCCCACAATGGCCATAGATACCCAGGCCAAAGCCATGGGCCTAGAGTCCCCCCCACCCCCGGATTTCCCACATGAGGGGCAGGTACCCAAGTACTACAGCCATCATCTGCTACTTTCTGAGAGGCTCATCAACAGGATGCTGAATAGGAAGAGGAGCAATTGGGTTTCAGTGAATTGTCCCAAGAGACAACTTAAGCCAGTGTATTAGTTTTGCTCTTTGCTCTTTCCACATCTGTTACCTCTGCCGTAGTTGTTAGAATAACTTGAGTCAGGGGAGAGTGTCAGCAGCCAGAGCTTCAAGGCCTGGGACACCAGGGACAGTACTTTGGACTTTATCCAAAGGTGATGTGAAATCACGAGGTGTCAATCAGAACAGTGACAAGATGATTAAGAAGAGATCTTTATGGCAACAGTGCAGAGATGGAGTAAAAGGAGACAGGAAGTTAATACAGAAGGAACAGACAGGAAAGCAGTGTTGGTAAGTGGGCTGCTGCTCTGGGCAACTGGGGCTTAAATGCACTGGGAACCTTCAAGAATAATGCTTTCTGCAAGGCATAAGAAAGCTGGGACATTTGTCTACTAACTCCTGTCCCTCATTGGTGGAGGGTTGTCACTGTAGGTTCAAAATCTGAGTGTTTATGGTTGTTTTGTGGACAGGCTGAAGAGCTTCAGGTGAATGAGCCTTTGTTCTCAAACAGTAGAGCCAGGTGCTTGAGATGGATACCATTATAGAGCACCTCAATGTATCTTCCACAGTGGAGCTGGACTCAGAGCTTGGTAGGGATAATGGGGCAGAGTATACCTGCTGCAGTGGCAAGAAGTGATAGCTAAGCTGATACTAAAAAAGTAGAAATTAGTAAATGGGGGTAGAAAATAGGGATGCAGTTTTACAACAAGTTCTACATTTCCAGTTTGACCTAGAATTTGTAGTTCTAGTTATTGAGTTTAAGACAATTGCCGTGAATTACAGAGTGATGTGGCCGGGAAGAAGAGATTATTTTCATTTGGGCATGTTGAACTGGAGGTGTCTGTGACATAACCAGGTGTCATACTGGGTTGGCAAATGAAACTCTTCTAACTCAGTGGTGGTAAAGTGTGCAAGCTTCAATTTGACATTGAAATTCCCTTAACAGGCTTTGTGGGATAACTCTAATGATGAATGAAGACTTTTTTCCTCCTGCTAAAAGAGTACATTTAATCTGGTGGTTTAAGTGATGCCTTTTAAATAGCCTGGTGTCTCTTTCTACTTACTGTTCTTCTATTAGTTGATTTTGAACTTGGTGCATTCCGTTACAGATTGTCTCCCTCTAAAGAAAGGGAATAATAAACACTCTTTGGAGCTGTTGCATAGCTATTGAAAACCTAGACAGCATTTTCTGAGTTGTTGCAAAGCACAGAGCTCCATCCAGTATTGTATTACTTTGCTTCATTTTGCTTTCAAACTTACTGCATTCTAATTATCCTGCTGTTACCGAATTCAGTGCTAAAGTGAATATGCTTGTTTCCTAAAATGGAGTTTCTAGATAATAAAAGCTCATATTTACCAAGTGAAATAAGCCAGATAGTTAGCTAATTATGGCACGGAACTCATCCTGTGTATATGTATTTTTTTTCTCTCCATTGTCATTATATATTTGCATTTGGACACATGCATCCTGTTTGTACTCTATTTCAGAATACATTTTTCAATAGATGTTGAAACCACTTACATTTTAATTTTCTGAAGTGGTTTCTTTGATGGATATTTTATTATAGGAAGAAACGTAGGACAGCCAAGTCAATGGGGCCAGAGACAAAAATGTGAAATAGGTAAAGTCTGGCTTCAGCTTTCACTTTCAAGGTGACCTCCATTTTCCCCGAGGGCCTTGGCATGTCCCAGAACTCACTGCCAAGGTGCCCAGGGGTGGTTGGCTTCCTTTTCTCGAGAGGTATTAATGATGTCATCACATATCTCCAGGGCTTGTGAATAGTGTGTGCTGTTCTGTTTAGCCATGCTTGTTTGTAGAGCCTTGGCTCTGCAGGAAGCCCTAGTCTACTTGGTAAAAGTGGAAGAAGAGGAGAGCAGAACAGCGTCAGGACTAGGTGGGGTACCTCGATTTGCTTCATCTTCCTTACTGGCTGGACTGTGCTGATAGTTACAATGGAGGCTGGCTCCACAAGTCCAAGAAGTTGGTGCAATGTAGTGGGCACTCACCACTGGGCTCAGTATTCTGCAAGTGCACTGATCTTCTTTAATGTAATAACACTGTGAGTTTGCTTAAAAACATGCTTAAGAGTAAACATTTCTAGAGAAAAGTGGAAAAGTCTCCTTATGTGTATCCCGTGTCTTTGAAACTTCCTGCTGCTGGCAGGTGGAAGAGCCTTTTGTTGTTTAAACAATTTTGAGGACCAAATTTTGCATCTGATTTTGTGAGAGTTCTAAACAAAGAGCAGGTTTCTTAGTAGTCATTTCTCTAAGGGGGGAAAAAAAATAATGACAGCAAAGTCACACAAGGTTTGAAACCTATATTTTTGAAGTAATGAAATAGCTGGCATGGTACAAAATAATAATGTTTTACTTTTGAAGAATAAAGGCAGCCAGCACATTCAGAGAATGATGGCTTTAGACTACAGGGTGGGATCATTCATCCTTCTGCTCTGCATTTGCTCCAGCTGAGCATAAAGCTTTCACTGTTGTGATGGCAGTTCCACCTGCAGGCGTTTCCCCTGGGACTCGTGGGTGTGGGTCTGGAAGTGTGCAGTAACCTACCCGCATCCAGTGTTTTTGTTTTGGAGCCTGAGGCCAAGGGGAGCTGAGTTAGTCAGGCACATGTGTGGCTCAGGAGCCTGCAGAAAGTGCTGAACTTTTGCATGGGCTGTGGGTGGTGAAGCACTTGTGTGTGCTCACCCTGCTGTTCAGCTTGGAGCCACCACTGGTTTCAATTATGCCTTCAACAGGCAGCTTTGAGGGCTCCTCTATTCATTACAGTGCCTCACGCTCTATAATTAGTAATAAAGGAACACAGGCACTTCACAAATATAAAGGGCTAAACAGTAATCAGGCGGTCAAGGCTAGGCATTGGGACTTTTCCACCTAACCCTTCTTTTCTCTCAAGTTGAGAAAAACACAGACTTCTTTTGTAGCTTTATTTTATGGTTTTTGCCTTGAATGATCTTGGTTTGAATCTCACCCTAGCCATTGACTAGCTGTGTGATTTTTCAGTATTTTATGTAACCTCCTCATATCTCAGTTTTCTTGTCTGAAAAACAGAGTTAATGATAATTCCTACCTTGTGAGAACAATTTGAGGGTTAAATGAGCTAATTTGGGCAGAAGGTTTTGGAGAGATCTGCATATGTAGAAGCTTGCTTAGTAGATGGTAGCTCTAACTAGTAACATTTTGATTTTAGGTAATGCATGAAGCACCAGACATAGCCATAGGTCTCTTAAGTATCTTAATTTAAATGATTTATTTATTTATTTTGAAATGCAGAGACAGCGACAAAGATACCCTATATCCTCTGCTTCACTCCCTAAATGCATGAAACAGCCAGGGTTGGGCCAGACCCGAGCCAGGTGTCTGGGACTCAATCCAGATCTGTCAAAAGGTGTTAGGGATTCAAATACTTGGGCCATCATTTGCAGCCTGTAAGAATGCATAATAGCAGGGAGGAGGATTGGAATTGGTGGAGCAGGTACTTAACCAGGCTCTTCAATAGAATACTGGCCTCTCAAGTAGCAAGTTAACAACTACACCAAATGTCTACCTCTCGAATATCTTTTTTAAAGCCTCTTATGCACGCACACACACAATTGAAAGGCAGTTACATAGTCAGCAGGAGAGAGAGAGAGAGAGAGAGAGAGAGAGAGAGAGAGAGAATCTCTGAATGCCAACTTACTTTCCAAATGGCTGCAATATCCAAAGCTGGGCTGGTCCAAAGCCAGGAGCCTAGAGTTTGTTCCAGGTCTCCCACATGGGTGCAGGAGCCAGGACTTGGACCATTTTCCACTGATTTCTCAGGCACATTAACAGGGAGCTGGATCAGAAATGGAACTGGCACCTCAGGCAGAGGCTGCTTTTCCAGTCTCTATGCACATTTTCAGACAGAAACACAACCAGTACCGTGTGTATCCATCCCATCACTGACAGTTTTCTGTCTTACCTGACAGAATCCAGTGATTATATTTTTTTCTGTATTTTAAGGCAAATCCCAAGCATTGTTCCTTTAGATGAACTTGAGTGTCTTTGATACTAACATCCTTAATAAGCTGAGAGTCCCCTTAGACCATGTCTTCTTTCCCATGGATTCAGTTTGAAAGGGGAATTACTAACAACAAAGCAACACCCCTACAGATGTTTGTTGAACTAGTAAGTTAATAACCCAGGCTTCGCTTGCCTCTACCTTTTGGTGCTTACTTAATAAATATTCATCAAGTAGATAAACAAGGACAGGAATTTCATAGCATGTCTAATATATATGGAGATGTGCATATTTATGAAAAAAATCAGCAAACTTTTAAATACTTATATGAGCCTTTGCAGTGCTTGAAATCCCACAGGCTTAATGTTGCTACAAACATGAATAATGCTCAAATTATTGGCACTTAGGAGTTTCATTCTGGTCCTGAAATCATCTGTGAATGTTGAATGTCTGACTATAGACGATGTCATGAAAAGCAATTAGCGGATGCTTCAAACACATGACAAATCCTTTATTACTGTGCTTATAAGTGACACGGTTTACAGAAAACCAAATGTAATTAAATAACATTGAACTTGAAATCTACCACAGAGTCAAGATATACAAGGTATACTTGGCAAGGCAAAACTTCTCAAACACTAGGTTGTTTTAGGTGATAATTTTCCAATAAATGATTCCAACACATTTTTTTTTGTCTTACAGACGGTTCCTTTGGCAATAACTTCCACTTTAGCTTTTATTATATAAAAATATAACAAACTTTCATTATATACAAACATTACATTACACAATGTACAGGTTAAAAACACTAAGAAAATGGCAAGCTGCAAGTGAAATTAAAGTCAGTAGCATGATAAGAATTAAATACGCACACATTTCATAAAAATTACATTAACTACATTTTTTTTTGTTTGCAAATACCAAACAGTACCAATGTGATTGGAAAGAGCTTCCAACAACTTCATTTTTAAGGCACATCTTGCATATTTATATTTACAACACTGAAACCAGTCAATAACTTAGGGGCTTCTCAGAGTGACCTGTATGATGTGTGAAGACATGCAGCGTGGGGTTACACATTTTCATCGGCTCCCTTCTTTGGGGACAGGTACCTTCCTGGGGGGGATGGGTAAAGGGGCACCCCGATCTCCTGCAGGTCTGGGAGCCTCCCTGGACGGGGCGGGGAAAGCAGAGTGACTGTCCTGTCATAATCTCGGTGCAGCACTTTTTCGTAGACGCTCTGCAGCCCCACAGTCTTGGGCAGCTGGGCCTGGTAGAAGTTGTCCCTGCGCAGGGGATCCCGCGGCAACGACGTGCTCTTACAGAAGGTTGACATCTGCGCTGGAGGCTGCAGTGAGGGCTGTGCGTTGGGCCCACCACAGGACGGGCTCCAGCAGCGGTCCGAATGGCCCAGGATCTTACACTCGGCTGTGCACGCCCACAGTCCTAACACGAAAGGGAAAAGAACGTGATTATTCTTGAGATCTCACACACACACACACACACACACACACACACACACACACACCTTGAAGCCTCTATCTTCTCAATGCCTGGGTCAGGGCAGCTGAAAAGTAAGGCGTGTATCTAGAACCCTATGAATTAAAAGGCACACTGCTCCTGTAAGTCATCTTACTATGAAGCTGGCCCCGTTTGTTTAAAAAAAAAAGTTGATTTCCCTCCTTGGACAGCCAGCAGCATTGACTCTGCTTCTGCTTGAGCAGCCGGGGTTGTGCTGTGTTCAGGTGATGAAACTGCCTGCCCTTGGCGCTTTGAAAATTCACTGCAGAATGGATGAGTGAAAAACTGAGGTGAAGAGACGGAGGGGGCCTGGGAACCTAGGGTGGCAGGGCCGAAGGGGACCGTAGGGAAGGAAGCTGCTTTTGGCTGGGAAGAAGAGCCCTCACCACTCTGCATGTGGTTGATGAGATCCTTTTTCAGAGCGTCCCCGCTGATGTCGGAATCGCTGTCGTTGAAATCACTGTCCCCTTTGCCGCTGTCTTTGCCGCTGAACTTCTCGGCTTCTCGGCCGGAGATGGTGTTGAAGGAGTGTCCCTTCCAGACGGCCACTGGGGGCGCCGACTCCTTGCCGAAGCCAGGAGACGCACCGTAGGGCTGCAGTGGGAGAGGTGGGGTGAGGGCAAGGGCGGGACAAGAAACAAAAAGAACAAGTGCGACCGGTTAAGCGTCTTCCTGAGCGCGCCCACCCTACCCCTCCAGGCTCCCTTCCCCCAGCCTGTACGCGGAGCACGGAGCAGGGGGGCGCCCAGCCAAGGAAGGCCTCACCTCGGCGTGCGCGCCGCGGAGCCGCTGCTGCCCCTCCAAGTGACAGGCGCTTTCCCCCGTGGCGCTGCCGCCCTCCGAGCCCGGCACTTCGGCCGCGGCGACCGCGGGCGGGGGCGCGTCGGCCGCGGGGCTGCCAAAGGGCGCTTTGCCGCTGCCAGGGAAGGTGAGCACGTCGAACATGTTGGGCCTGGGCCCGGCTCCCCGGGCGGCCTCCTCCGGGGAGCCGGGAGCTGAGGCTCCGCCGCCCGCCGCCCCGGGCCGCTCTTCCCGGAGGGCCCCCCCTTTGCGCACCTCCTTCTTGCGGCGGTTGCAGGTGGTGGCGATGGCGATGATGGCGGCCAGCAGCAGCGTGCAGCTCCCGGCCAACACGATGATCACGATCAGCGGCGTGTCCCATTGCAGTGCCGGCCCCGACGCCCCGAGGCGAGAGCCTGGCGGGCTGGAGCGCTCCGGGGTGCCCGCATTGGCAGGTGCAGCGGGCCCGCGCCCGCCGCCCGCGGTTACCACGAAACTAACAGTTGCGGTGGTGGCGAGAGGGGGGCGGCCGCCGTCGGATATGACCAGTAGCGCCCGGAATACGCTGCCAGGGGGTTCCTGCGAGAGGTCGCCGGTGAGCACGATCTCCCCCGTGCGGCGGCCTATGGCGAAGGCTTCGCGGGGCTCCTGCTGCTGCAGGTCGAATGCCAGTTCTCCATTGGCGCCCTCGTCTGCATCCCGGGCCTGCACGCGCGCTACAGCCGTGTCCCTGGCGGTGCGCCCAGGGACGGCCACTTCTAGAGTGCCGTTGGCCGGCACAGGAAGAACCAGGACTGGCGCGTGGTCATTCTGGTCCAGCACCCGTACTTGCACCAGGGCGCTGCTGGAAAGCTGAGGGGAACCGCCGTCACTTGCTTGGATGCGCACGTCGAGCTGGCGCAGTGTCTCATAGTCGAAGCTGCGCAGGGCGTAGATGGCCCCGGTAGCCGGGTCCACTGAGACGTAGGTCGACACGGCGCCTCCCGCGCGGCCCACTTCTGCGTCCAGCAGCCTGTAGGTGACTTGACCATTGCGGCCTAGGTCCGGGTCTCGGGCGGCCACGGTAGCCAAGTAGGCGCCGGGAGGATTGTTCTCGCGCACCGAGACCTCGTAGACAGGCCGCGTGAAGACAGGCGCGTTGTCGTTCTCGTCGCCCACGCGCACCGTATAGGGCCTCACCGTGCGCAGCGGGGGCGAGCCGCGGTCCTCAGCCACCAGCGTCAGGTTGTACTCGGCGATGCGTTCGCGATCTAGCGATGCCGCGGTCACCACCAGATAGCTGCCCGCGTAGGCTGGCTGCAGCCGGAAGTGCTCATGCCCGTAGAGGGCGCAGCGCACCTGCCCGTTGGCCCCCGAGTCCTTGTCCGAGGTGCTGACCAGAGCCACCAGGCTCTCGCGCGCCGCCCCCTCCGGCACCAGAGACGTGGTTCCGGCCTCCGGCGTCCCGGGCCCGGCCGGTGAGGTTGCGTCCGCTCCCCCGAGGGCGGCGGCGGCAGTGAAAGCCGAGGCCGGTGGCACACCCGGCGCGGCCAGCGGGGTGATGGTGATGTCCGGTGGGTTGTCGTTGACGTCGCGGATGCGCACGATGACCTTGCAGGTGGAGGCGCGCGGCCCTGGGCCACGGTCTTGGGCCCGCACGTCCAGCTCATAGGTGTCCTGGCGCTCGTAGTCCACCGGCCCGGCTAAGGTAAGGCGGCCGGAGCGCGGATCCAGCCGAAAGAGACGACGGGCCTCGGGCGGGGTGCGGGCGCCAAAAGAGAACACCACGTCACCATTGGGGCCCTCGTCTGGGTCGGCCGCGTCCAAGTCCAGCAGCAGCGAGCCCACGGGCGCGTCCTCTGCCAATTCCACCTCGGCTACGGCGCCCTGGGGGAAGGCCGGGCTGTGGTCATTGGCGTCTAGCACTCGTACACTGAGGGCGGCTGTGGCAGATCGTGGCGGGCGGCCGCCGTCTTGGGCCACCAGTTCCAGGCTGTAGGCGGCTTGGCTTTCGCGGTCCAGCTCTTGCAGGAGCACCAGATCGGCGCACTGGGCGCCATCCGCGCGCGTCTGCAGCTCCACGCGGAAGGGGCTGTGGGGCTCCGCGAGGCGCACGCTCTGCAGCCCATTGGCACCCACGTCCTCATCCACCGGCACCTCCAGGGGGATGCGCGTGCCTACTGCCGCACCCTCGGACACCTCCACAGGGATCTGGGCACGAGGGAAGTGGGGCGCGTGGTCGTTGACGTCCCTCACCTCTACCTCCACGTGCACCAGCCGGAACTGCTCCTGGGAGAAGCTGACCACGTCGAAGGCCAACACGCACTGTGGGGCCTGACCACACAGCCGCTCTCGGTCGAGGCCTGCGTCCCCGACGGTCAGCTGTCCGTCGCCCTCGCGCACCCGGAGCAGAGAGCTGTTGAACTGCTTCATCAGGCGGAAGCTCGTGTCTCCGGACACTTTCATGTGCAAGTCCTCAGCCAGCGTCCCAATGACCGTGCCGGGAGCATCTTCCTCAAAGGTGCTGTAGCGGACTGTTTTGCTCTGGGCCACCGAGAGCACCCAGCAGAGGCTGAAGAGCTGCAAAGGGAAAAGCAAGGGTCTGCCCCAGCGCCTTGCCGGACTCATGCCGCCAGCCACCCAAGTGCTGTTTCCGAAAGGCTGCGGGAAGAGAGCGCTCTCTGCTTTTCAGATGCAGGCGTGCGCCCCTGGCTCTCGGGAAGGCGTTTAGCTGCGAGCCTTGCGCGGGAGAAGTCTGCAGGCTCCCGGCTTCGCGGCTTGGAAGAGCCCCGAGGACGCGCGGACCCGTCTCGCCCGGCGCCTCTCCCTCCCGCCCTCCTCGCCGGAGCTGAGCCGCCGCGCGCCGCCTCCGCCTTTATAGCCGCCGCTATGCAAATCACCCGAGCCGGGCAGCCAATGGCCGCCTCGCCCTCGCGCCGCTCCTCCGCCAGCGTCTGACAATCCCTCTAACGTGGAAAAGACTTAGATGGGGGGGAAGGGGCAGGCGGGGGGAATTGGGGAATCTTCCCTCTGTTTCTTTAACTCCTTTTGCTTTCTCGCCTGCACGGAGAGGAGTCGGTGCGGGGCTCGGGGAGTACGGAAAAGCCGTCACCGCCTGGCCGGCTGCAGGAGCCAAGCGTGGACTTGTCGGGGTGGCGCCCCAGGGGCCTGGGACCCCCAGCCCTGCCTCTGCCCCAGCACGCACCCTTGGGCATGTTGCAGCCCCTTTCCTTCCTCCAAACTCCGGCGGTCCGTGCGGAGAGCAGCGCTGCTCGCCTTTCTGGCCCGGCTTCCCAGGGTGCCGGGAACGCCAGGCTCTCCATGAAGCAGCTCGGAAGAATAAGGGAAAATTGATTTTGTTTAAATTTGTGTATGCATGTTTCGCTCGTGTGAGTCCCGGTGATCAGAGCTGCCACTTGCCTTTCAAAGAACTCTCCGATATGTTAGTATGCATGTCACCGTCCAAATGGCTTTCTTAAGCCCTGGGCGCTAGCAGCCAAGGAGGAAAAAAAAAGTTCCAAATAGGATTTAGCATAAGCTTGAGGAGATTTGGAAAGGTTTCAAAGATCAGACTGTATCAAAGGCTTAGGAAGCCCTCGTTAGCAGTGGAAATAGAATGGCGTGGCAGGCGATCCCATTGGAGGCCCCAATGTCTGTATTATTTCCCTGTGACAAGCTAAGGGGAGAGAAAAGTTGAACAGTTTCCACAGCCGAGTCGGGCTAACTCGAACATAATGAGCAAACGCCACATGTATCCATTATGTTCCTCTATTCATCCCCGATCACTGCCATAACTCTCCAGCTAAACGGTGATGGGCGCTGAATTCCACACAATACCCAGCTCGTATTAAAGTGCATTTAGAGAACTTTCCCTCCTGATGCCTCGTTCCGCCTATTTGGAGGATTTTCTTTCTTTCTAATAGGGCCGCTCTGGGAAGCAACACTCGTCCTGTTCCGGAAGAACAAAATCACAGCATGAACGTTGAAACCTGGCACGAACCTGGGGGAACTTAGCCATCTGCCTAGGGAAGTGAGGAGCTTCGCCACTGCCAGGCCTTAGGCTGGGTGGCTCCTGGGGGACCCCCAGGTATGCTTCTCTCATCCCTGCATGCTAGGGGAGGAGGCTTCACCCCACAACAAGGTGGGTTCTTACACTGATGCCCACTCAGAGGCTTCTGCAAGCCCGCTATGCAAATTCACACAGAGGAAAATAACCTGAAGTCATTCACACACACGCACAAAAAAAATTAGGGCTGTGCGTTTAACGAACAGATTGCCGTTCAGTCAACACCCTCCTGACTCGTGATTTTGGCGCTGCTTTGTCTGCGTGTTTTTCCGTCCCTCAGACTCGAAGCCCTGGGTTTTGTGATGGCTTGAGGGGTGGAGTAGGAATCCCAAGAACGGGGGAGGCCAAGCAGGGAGCTGGGTGGGCGAACGCTGGCGTGCAGGAAGGAAATGCTCAGGGTCGCCAGGGAGCGGAGGCCTGACCCTCCTGAACGCTCCTAGGAGGCTGGTGGGGCGGGGTGGGGTGTGGGTGATGCCTTTCGGTTCCTTTCCTGGCCTCCTCCACGGTGTAGATCTAGCAGGCCTCCTCCACGGTGTAGACCTAGCAGCCGGAGAAAGTCGGGAAGAGGGCACCTGCAGCCGCCCCGGGGCTCAGTGAGAGCAGCGCGGCAGGAGCCCCATTCCCAGACTTCTCTTGCCCCGTTTCCTTCCTCAGTGTCAAAAAGTATCTTGGCCTCTCGGTTTTCCTCGGGGTGTGTGTGTGTGTGTGTGTGTGTGTGTGTAGGGGCAGGGGAGGAGGTAAGTAAAGGCACCCCAAACAACCTTCTATCTTCCTTCCGAGTCCCAGCCAGGGACTGACCGTCGCTGACCTTGGACGCCACCGGGCTCCACCCTGCGCCGTGGGCCCGGACTCGGGGACGGATTCAGAACTCGACTCGTGGACAGCGGCCTCCTCTCTTCCGCCCGTGGCCTTGGAGGAGAGGTGGCGAGCTGGGCGCTGCGGGTCCCGGGTGTAGACTGTCGCCCTGTCGGGGCGGAGGCGTGGGCAGTGGGGTTGGAGTCGCTGGACCAGGGTGTCTCCAGCAGTTTGCGGGAGCAGGCACCTGCTCCAGGGGCCCAGCACCTGACTGCGCGGCCAGTGCCTCCGCTCTTTACGGTTGGGGATGACCTCGCTCCCCCGTTCCTTTCAAGTTTGAATTTCTGTTAGGCCGGAGGATGCATAACTACCTGACCTTGCACTCGAGGCTCTTCCCACGATAGCCCAAGCTCCGCCGGAGACTGAGCTAGACTGAGGCATAGGTGGCGCACCAGAAGACACAGGAGGTGGGTGGCTGGGTCACTGGGCGGGCAACAGCCCAGGGGTAGGGGGACCGGCGTGGAGTTGCGAGGGGCAGGTCCAGTCGTTCTGCCCGTTGCCAGGACCTCGGGAGTGGCAATGCCAAGGACGACTCCTTGGAGCTCGGGGCCCTGAGCAGCTCGGTGGCGGCGGTAGACGCGCCCTGGCCTCCCGGAGCCACCCGAGGAGGTGTGAAGGCACGCGAGCAGCCGCTTGCGGCCACCACATCACGAAAATACGATTTAGAACCGCCCTGCTGCTGCCGCCGTGGCCGCTCCCCGGGGAGGCGCAGGGTCCGGCCGGGGTGGCGGGAGGCGACCCGAGGGCTGGACGGGAGGGGAGCTCGGCCGCCCCGACTCCGATCGGGCCGCACAAAAGACGCTCAGTCGCCTCGTTATCATACCAAAAGACCCCGGCCGGCCCCTAGGAGCCCCCTTTCTCTTCGGTTTTAGAAACTTCGCCTGCAACTGTCCCTCCCAATCCAGAGAACAAACGCTGCTCCACAATGGCCGGCGTAGCCTCGGAATGCAAATGCTGCGGGTCGCGCCGAGGCGGGCGCCTGTCACCGAGCCTAATGCGGGCTTTGTGCAGCTCGCGTGCAGACACCGAGCGACACGGGCGTCACGTGACGGATTAGGGCTCCCGCAAAGTTTTCAAAAACGGCGACAATGGGGGCTCAGCCCGATCTGATATCTCCCACCGTTCAGCGGGAAAGAAACTCGGGGTATATTCTCATATGTAATAGGATTATCTTTTTCCATTTCTGGTTCTATACAGCATGTAATTTATTTTTAATTAGGATTATATCTTCCAGGAAAGGGAACTAGACATCTCTGGAAAGTGTAATTCTAAGAATGGATGGAAACAGAGGTTATTATTTTTTTTAAACCTTTTAACTTAGAAAAGAAAAGAAATAGAAGGCCCAAGGCTCTCGGTGTTTCCTTGTGCAGTCTTCCGAGGTAGCCCCCCAGGAACATTTGCAGCAAGTGCTGGGGTGCGTGAAGAAACAGGCGGCTCTTTGTCCAGTTCCTTCTGGTGGGAAACCTTACTTGAAAAGCCTCTTGGAATTCCTGAGTCTCTAGGATTTACTGATGGGGCTTTGGAACTTCGACTTATCTCTGTTCTACACTACCTTCCCATGTTTGTTTGTTTAATTGTGTGTGTGTGCGTTTATGTGCTGGGCTGTTAATCCTGGCCTAGTGGCTTTTACACTGTGTACTATCTGAGCAGCATTCTCCAGCACTCGGATGCACTCAACAGTCAGTGGGATCTTTGGGGGTGAAGACCACTTGTTCAGAAATTGATTTCTGGACGCTCACCAACCCTGGCTAATTTCCAGGTCTAGAACCGCTCATCCTATTCTGTGCTCTCCATGTTAGGAAACTCTGAAAGACCTGCTTTCCTTGATAAGCAATGGCTTGGGGCTGCTACCTGCATCCTGTGAAGTCACTCTGCCTGGGTTCAGATCTGCTGGCTGATTTGCTGTGTGACCCTGTGCAAATTACTGATAGTTTCTTTGAGGACTGTGGTGTCTCAGATTAGGAGCATTTCTCCTTAATGCATAGGGAAGAAACATCTGTGATTATGTAACACAAACTTATTTTATAGGTGAGCAATTTGTCCAAGAAAGAAAATTTCTGTCTGCCTGTTTGTTTGATTAACTACGGTCAGAGCCTTCTTTTTCCTTCTTGGGACATAGCAGATGTAGTAGTAATTGCACAGATACCGAAGGAAGGAGAGGATGGCCATGTGGCAGTCAAAGCGACTTGCATGCCCTGATGTCATCTCAAAATATTTTGGTACCTTCCTCTCTGGTTGAGTGATAGAATGAATAAAAGCTATGTTCAATAGACTTCTCTCCCTTTCCTTTTCTATGGAGCACGTGGGTCATAACTGAGGCAGCTTATCGATTCAGTTTTTAATGGGCAGAAACTCCTGGGGGAAATGGTGTATTCCATAGGGCTTTCCCTCCTGGGTTATCCCAGGGCAGCAGGTGGCTTCCTCTGACGTATCCTGAACTGACCTGTGAAACAATCTTTGGCTCTCTGCTTTGCCTCTGTATTGATCTGCTAGATTGACCATTGCAAAATAACCCTATCCCGAGTGATTTCAACAGGAGTTTTCTTTTTCTACTTCTGGAGGCAGGTCAAGGAGCCTGAGGCTTCCTGTCTTGGTTTGAAGGTGGAGGTCTTCTTTCTTTGCCCTTCCACGGTCTTTTCTCTGTGAGGAGGAGACCTGGTGTCTTCCTTTTCTTAAAGGGAAAACACTCATGTTGGACTAAAGCCCATGCTCAAGATCTCCTTTACTTGAGTCACCCATTTAAAGACCCCATCTCCAAATACAGTCCTAGTCTGTGGCATTAGGGGTTAGGGTGCAACATGGGAATTGCAGGAAGGCATAAGTCAATTCACAGCATCCTTATTCTCTCAACACACAAAACTGAGAGCTTACTAAAGTGCTGCGCTCTGTGCTAGGTGCTTTGGAGATGG